ACTAGCCCATTTTTATATGCTTTTTAAGACACTTCAGTCAGACTAAGACAAGTGTATTACTGCTGAGAGAATTTATATGCTGCTGTTCAATGATTACAGAGACAAGTTTAAACATGTTCTTGTTTGGATTGAACCTGAACGAACTGGAACCTGGGTAGCAAGACTTTTTTGCTTACCTTTACTTCCCATAGCCTGCCAGAAGGAACAAATACATCTCGGAGGAAATCCAGCCAGAATCCTTCTTAGAAGCAAAGATGGTGAGACTTTGGTGCACATAGTTCATGTTCTCAGAAGGAACCATTCTCTGGAGAAGAACATGATGCTTGTTAAACAGAGGGCCAGCAAAAAAGGGAAGATGACTCTTAAGAAAGATTATTGTCGTTGATTGCATTTCTTGAGATGGGCTGTGTAATTATATATGTGTATGTATATGTATATATATAAAAATTTTTTTCTTTAAAAACCAAAAATTAAATCTCTGCAGATTCCTTGTCCCTCAATTAAAATAAACTTTTACAAGTTTTTCTTGGGAAGGTGGGGTAGAAAGGGGGAACCAATTACAAGGATCTACCTATAACCCCCCTCCCTAGGGGACGGACAATAGAAAAGTGGGCGAAGGGAGATGCTGGACAGTGTAAGACATGACAAAATAATAATTTATAAATTATCAAGGGTTCATGAGGGAGGGGGAAAATGAGCTGATACCAAGGGTTCAAGTAGAAAGCAAATTTGAGAATGATGCTGGCAACCAATGTACAAATATGCTGGACACAATGGATGGATGGTGATGAGTTGTACGAGCCCCCAATAAAATGATTTATTTTAAAAAAGGTTTTCTTGTCCCTCAACATTATGATGTTTTCCTTTTTCCATAGAAAAAGGAGGAAAAGTAAAGTTGAAATGAATTTGGAGTCTTTAGCGTCAAACAGACGAAAAAGAACGGGGGTTGGCACAGTGGCTGCAACAAGGGCCCAAACACACCAACAGTTGGGCAGGTGCCGCAGGGCCCAGCATGGTTTCTTTCCATAGTAGGTAGTTGGCACGTCCTCAGCCGCACCTAACATCAGCCTGCGTCGGTCAGTGTACTGAAGCAAACCAGTGGGGAAGATGCTTTGGGACCAGGCTGCATGGCGTTGTGTTGTCCATGGGTCACCCGGAATCATGGTCACAGACATGACAGCAAATAACAAGGAACTTTGGCTAGAGCCCTTCGCCTGGGCACAACACGTAAGACCTCTCATGGCTGGTCTTGGTCAGTCCTTGACCCCGATCCTCCAACTTTCCAGGAGTTTAAGTCAGGCAGCCAACCACCTAGGGAAATCACTCATCTAGGCTGCAGTTGTCAGCAACTTGCTGCTGTTCAGCAAAGTGCAGTCCCTGAAGCCAGGCCTCATCTTACCAGCTTTGGCGCCATCTACTGGATGTGTCAGGGGCTGGGGTGACAGCAGCCCTCTCTGTGGAAAAGGAGCAAAACTAGTCAATTCTTGGTCTCCTCATGCCAAGCCCCAGCCACCCTCCCACCAGAGCTCATTGCAGCCCCTTGTCACCACGTGTGCACGCCTTCATGTCAGATCAACAGTTGAGGAACCGAAAGACCACGTGTGAATCGTTGGCCTCGGACATGTGTGCCAACCTGGGCATTAAAGACGATGCAGAATGAAACAGCCCACATGTGCATGAAATGGTGACACCCCCTCCCCCCCCCCAGGGTGCAGTGGATGAAAGAACGCAGTGTACTGAACCAGGGACCGCTCCAACAAGCACATGAAAGGCAGGAGTCGACATCATGATCCCATTTATTAAACAGACCCAAACCTATTGTAAGTTGGAAAAGGCATGGGGTGAGGGGAGAGTCAGGACACCTCTGTAGAGGGGAGGGATGGGTAGAATGCGTACCGTCTGACTGCGCATCTTGTTTTTCTTTTGAAGCCGCTGGGTAACTCCCTGGCAGGTTAGCTCAAAAAGTAAAGAATGTTGCCCTTGAGTCCTGTGCTTAAGAAAACCAAATTCTGTCTGAGACCAAGGGGTCAACTGGGGCAGTAAAGCAAGGATGAGGTGGGGATAGTGGGGCATGGGGGAGAAAGTTGATGGCACGGGTTAATGGAACTAGAGCAAAAATCATGAGGGTGTTGACATGCAACCAATGTCATTAAGTTTCATCTGCAGAGATTATTAAATGGAAACACGTTTAGCTGTGTATACTTTTTGCCAAAAGTACAATATTAAAACAAAAAATTGTTCCCTGTAGCTGAGTTTCTGCTGCATGAGTAAGTGGCCCTGGCTTCCAGAATCTGAGACCTCTCTTTGGCCCCACGAACTCCCTCCTAATGGTGTGGGGGGGGCGGGGGGGCTTCTTTTCTCTGCCAGCAGGACTTCCTCTTACACTTCCAGCTTCAAACCCCAGTCAGGTGGTTTTCCAGAAGCACTGAGGTGTCTTGCTGCTTCCCTGCGTGGCTCCCAACAGGGAACACTTCTGCCCTAGCTGTGTGAGGCATCTCAAGAAGTGGGCCCTTCTGCCATGAAAGAGGTTAAAGGGGCCTTCTCTCCCCTGTAGCAGGTACAGGACCATGGCCCAGGCTTGCGAGCCCCCACTAGGAGTGGGTGGGAGTAGAGGCAGTATCCAGCCTTCATCGATGACGGCCATGGCCAGTCATTTGTTACTATTAAGGAGGCCTGGTGGTGCAGTGGTTAATGAAAGGTTGATGGTTTAAAGCAGCGGTTCTCAACCTGTGGGTCTCAACCCCTTTGGGGGGTTGAATGACTCTTTCCCAGGGGTCACCCGATTCATAACAGTAGCAAAATGACAGTTATGAAGTAGCAAGAAAAATAATTCTATGGTTGGGGGGGGTCATCACAACATGAACTGTATTAAAGGGTCGTGGCATTAGTAAGGTTGAGAACCACTGGTTTAAACTCAACAAAAAGAGCCACTATGCACGTGCACATGCACATACACACACAGGTGAAGCAGTCTGCTCCCATAAAGATTTACAGCCGTGGAAATCCTATGAGGCCGTCCTGCAGTCACGGAGTAGGAATACACTAGCAGCAGGTTGCCGTTGAGGCTGTAATACACCGCAGCAGTTTCTACTAGTACAGTTACAGCGACAACAGCTGTGAGTCGTGCATCTATTTGCAGTCTCTTTCCCTGATGCTCCTTCCCCAGTAGCATAAACATGGTGCCTCTGTTTCTTATGTAATTTTTCAAGTTGCTGTTGTTACTTTGAGCCCATGGAGACATTCAAAGAGCATAATACTCAAGGCCCAACTTTCTTTACTGAAGTTAAACTATTCTTGTTTGCTTTTAAGAAGACTTGGGAAGATATATCTAGTCCAAAGCTTAAAAGAATGATCTAGGGACAATAGTTTCAGGTGATCATGCAGTTCCATGACTCTGGAAACACTCGCGTCCATAAAAATCTTAAATCCTGTTCTGCGTTTCCCCCTTTTGATCAGGATTCTTCTGTCGACTCTTTGATCAAAATGTAGTTGGTCACCATCCAGTTCTTCAGGTCTCAAAGCAAAGGAGGCAGTTGCTCAAGGAATCAATTAGTCACACATTCCATATCCTCTTCCTGTCCCTGACTCTCCCTCCTCCTCTGCTCTGGGAGAACAGGGCCAATTGTTTTAATGAGGATGGTCGCCTGCAAGCTTTTAAGACCTCAGACACAATGAATTAGGGTATAGCGCAGAAGCACTAAAGACAGTATTAGGTCACTTGACCAGAATGTGTCAGGAAACCATGACCCTAAAGCTCCACACCAAGGAGCCGAATCCCATAAGGTGTTTGGTTGTCCATCAGCAGCTACTGAGCTCTGTTCGTCGTTCATTTTTTATTGTTGCAAATATATCTGTCACGCAATGTTTGCCAAGTCAGTTTTCTACAGGCATGCAACTTGATTGAGATGAGTTACAATAATCAACTACCCTTACTCAATGTGATGTTTCTTCCCCCGTCATTATCAGCAAACCTCAGTACTCCATAAATAAGCTCCCTGTTCCTATCCCTCCTGGCTTGGTAGCCACTAGTAACATTTGGTCTCTCTATTTGCCTGCTCTTGTCTTTTCGTGCCTGTGCCCTTTTGTGGTTGACTTGCTTCGGTCCGCCCTGTCTTCCAGCTCCATCCACATAGGGAGACTTGGCCTCTCTTCCTGGCTGAAGTATGATGCACATTTTGTTTACTCTTTCGTCTGTCCATGGGCAATCTGGCTGTTTCTACCTTTTGACTACTATGAATAGTACTGCGATGAACAGAGGTGTGCACACAAGTCCTGCAGTCTGCTTTCACATCTCCAGGGAATATCTGGGCGTGGACTTGCTAGTCGTTGAGTTTTATACTCCATCTTTTGAGGGCTCACCACCCTGGTTTCCACAATGGCATTGCATCCCAACTAGCCCTGAATCCAGGTTCTTACTCCCCCGCATCCTCACCAACATTGGTTAATTTCTGGGTTTTGTTTTTTAGCCGTCCTGGTAGGAGTGAAATGGCAACTCACTGCGTGACGCTGAGGAGCCCTGATGGCATAATGGATATGAGTTGAGCAGCTAATCACAGGTGAGTAGTTAAGAACCACCGGCATTCTTGGAAGAAAGACAAGGTTTCTAGACCAGTACAGTTAGTCTCGGAAACCCACGAGGGCATTTCTACTCTGCTATGGGGGCACTGTAAGATGGTAGAGTGATGGCAACGAGTTTATTTTGTTTTATGATAACGTTGAGTATCTTTTCATATATTTAGTAGTCATTTGAATGCCGTAGGGGGTTCAATGACTTATTCTCAGGGGTCTCTGGGTAAACGTGAACTTGCAACCTTTCTTGAGCAGTCAGTGTTTAACCACTTGGGGGACTCCAATCTCATCCCTCGCCTCCCACCCCTACCTCAGCCTTTGCCCCCCCAGATGGCTACTCCCTGCTTTGCAAACTCCTTGGGCTCAAAATAACACCGGAGGATCATTTCCGATGTGTCCTCTCTGCTCAGCCTGGGTCCACACCCCTCCAGCCTCACCTCTGTCCTGTGGCAGCCCCCCTGGTGTCAGATTCTAAAGGTGCCCCCACGTGTTGGGTGGCGTGCATCTCCGGGTCCCTGCAGTCTTAGCCCTGCGGAAGGCGGGGCCCAAGCACTGAGCTTTCCAGGAGTGCACCCAACCCTGCCTGGTGGTCACCGACCCTCCAAATCCGTGCCAGCACCCGTGTCAGCAGCAACAGCAGTAGGGTTTCCGCAGTGAGCGGCGGCTGGGGAAACGGGGTGGAGGAGGGTGGGGACGGGGAGTGAGTGGCGCCCGCATCCCGGCAGGGGGCGCACGGGCCGCGCTGTGCGACCCGGTTCTGGCTCCGGGCTTGCTGTGCTGCAGAGCCAGCCCGGCCGCCCTTCCGGCCTTGGCGACGTGGCCGCGGGGAAGTCCGGAGCGGACGCCGAACAAAGGGGCGCGC